GCATTGGCAGAAGAAATGCTGGAAGCAGGCATGCACGTCATGTGCACAAGGAAGTAAAGGCCCCCGGGGGAATCGGCGTGAGAACAGAATGCTTTCATGTATAGGCCTTGGGAGGCCGGAACCTCGAAGTGGCAGGCTCCGTGACCGCTCTTTAGGGTTTCATCAAGACCTTTCCCGGATAACAAAGCGAAAGTTTGTCAATCGGCCGGGAAGTGGCCAGCTAGGGTTTGGACTTCGTCCAGATGCGATGTCTTGTACTTGCTTGTGCACTGTCTGGTGCAACCACTGCCAACCAGCCGCTCAAATGCAGGCGTTTCACACCATGACATGTACATGTACATGTACGTGTATGATGTAATAACAACAATAATAAGGGGATAAAACTATCATGAAAGAAGTGTTTAATTAACTCCGAGTTTCACGCACTAAGCGATCATCGGAAAACAGAAAAAACCTTTTCTGATGATCGTTTGGTGCGTGAAACTCGGAGTTAATGAGCACTCTATTGGACAGCGTGGAACCTCTCTGTTTTTGTATGATGTAATAGTTCGGCGCCATACTGCTGCGCTCCGAATTCCGCTACAAAAAAAAGTATTAATATAATATTGTAAAGTATTGAAATGTGTACAAGTCAGAGGAACGACTAGCCTACGCCAGGCAGCATTGTAGGCGGCTGATTGGCTGACTGGCTGGGAGAGCTGGGAGGTGTACTTGTACCTTAGAAGTCGGCATTGAGAGTCGGATGGCCAGGTCATGTCAGCGGGGCTCAGCTGAGATTATAAGAATAATCTCACTTTTCAATCTCAGGAAGAAAATGCACGGCACTGGGTCATTGCGCTGGAATCGCATGTCCTGCAGAAAAATAGGTCGGGGAAGTGTTAAAACATTTACACCCCATCAGCTCATGGAAACAAGCCGCTGCAGACTGATTGGTGACACAAATCGTCTTTACGACTTACAACAGCCTGGGACTCTCAGTCCTGTTGATTATATTGCAGCATTTAGTCGTCACTTGCGCCCCATCACCATTGCATTCATTGACTTTCACAAGTATACAGTCAACTTACTTCGCTAATAACGACTGCGGATATAACGACAATTCGCGAATAACGACAGACTTTCCATGCCCAGAGCAAAGTCACATCCAACTGTAATACATATAATGGGACTTCGGGTATAACAACACTTCGCGAATAAGGACAATTTTCTGATGCCGCGCCGAGTGTCGTTACACGCGAAGTTGACTGTAATGACGAACAGATGAAGGTTTGATAGACAGGAAAATATGATATTGCCAATCGGCAATCGCGTGCACCCATTATTGTACTTAAGGGACAATGTATCAGTACAATGGACCTCACTTAGCACGTACACGGTACAGTTTACTCTGGTAAGACATTCCTACTCAGACATTGTCACACGGCACACGGACATTCAGGTAATGCTCCCGGAATCGATGCCTCAGCTGAAGGACGTTCCTGCAATCCTTGAAGACGAAGGTCCGCCGCCACTTGCGTCACACTAATTATGGCTCTGGACAAAGGGCTCCCTACGAGTCTATGTCGCCCGACAACGAGAAACTAGCCTCATCCATCAGCTCTTTCTTGCTCTCTCTCTCCCCCCCCCCTCTCTCTCTCTCTCTCTCTCTCTCTCTCTCTCTCTCTCTCTCTCTCTCTCTCTCTCTCTCTCTCTCTCTCTCTCTCTCTCTCTCTCTTCTCTCTCTCTCTCTCTCTCTCTCTCTCTCTCTCTCTCTCTCTCTCTCTCTCTCTCTCTCTCTCTCTCTCTCTCTCTCTCTCTCTCTCTCTCTCTCTGACCTCTCTCTCTCTCTCTCTCTCTCTCTCTCTCTCTCTCTCTCTCTCTCTCTCTCTCTCTCTCTCTCTCTCTCTCTCTCTCTCTCTCTCCCTCTCTCTCTCTCTCTCACTCTCTCTTTCTTTCTCTCGTTCCCTACTTAGGCTAGCTGCATTCTTATCCATGCCTGGCTGTAGGCTATGATTCCGAGACCTCTGGTCGGATGAGCCTCGCCAACCACATCGGCACATCGCCCCAACCCCCTTTGTCCTATCATATGTCCTTTCTCCTGTCCCCTTTCCCTGACTGTTAGTACTCAGTACTCAGTACTCAGTAGTGCTGATTTCCTAGTAAAAATGGAAAACCATGGTCCTGGGAACGGATGCATTGATCTCCTACTGTATAGTGACTCAGTATGTTACGATCATGATGAACTTAGAAGTACTTCGGATAATAACTAAGACTAGTAGTACCCTTTCCTGCTGCCCGTCGGAGTACGTCTCAGCAGAGTTGCACTGGGTTTTACTTCTGATCTAGACCGGTAACACACTGGTTAAACTAACGAATACTCGAGCAAATCACGGACTGAGATTGTGATCTTTGCCCACACGGTGGTATCATTGTTTGTTTTGTGGTGGAAAGAAGTAGGATTGGGTGGGTCAGGGCAGATACGTGCTGCTCATCACAATCTAGAGACAGTTCACAGAGCTAGAGTAGAGAGAGATCAGTACATCATGGCATCCGGTTCGGACCTGACTGAGCCGTTGTGACGTCAGGGCGGACACCGACAGCAGCTAGCCAGCCAGGACGTACATGTACTGATGTAGGTCTACGACGCGTAGCGGGTGCACCGGGCCGGGCGGCGGTTGATCTGCTGTGCTGGAGCCGCAAGTAAAGTGCAGGAATAGAATGTACGTGTACATGTATGCCACCGCAAAGAGATAGTGTGGTGAGATTTCTCCCGAATCGCTGCTCAATGCTCTCACACAAAGACTAGCAAAGTCATTGAAGGTGCAGTCGACTGCCCTCCTTGTACTACGTGTACATGAACACTGTCCGTACATGAGTCATGACTTTGTATTATCAGTTAGTAGTTGAGGTGATGATGAGAGCTACATGTATAATGACACTAATAATATAATAAGTAATGCCAAAGGCTTTGCAAAGACATGCATGACGCAATGCATGTTTGTGACGACCACTACTACTACGCACTAGACTACTGATACCGGTTGGTGCGATCTCCATGGCTTTCCGAAGCTTAGGCATTCGCACATACATGTATTATTGCCAGGCTGGCACAGTGCAGTGGCAGATCAATGAATCGTCCTTTGTGTGCAGTGTGTGTGTGTGTGTGTGCTGTGGCCGTGGACGCGAAACCGCGTTTTCCGGCTGACTGTGTTGGTGGTGCCGAGTTGTGGTGTTGACGCTGACATCACCTGTCTCTGAGAATTGTCTCCGAGAATGTGTGAGAACATCATCGGGCAACAATATACAAGGACCTCCACACATCTCACAAAGGTCATGTCTGGTATTTTTCTGAGTCCGGTAGTGGTAGGTAGAGAGCTGCACGAATGCAGCCAACTGACAGTCTGTTCTGGGTGCAGTGACTGCAGTCAGCTATTTCAGTATTTTGTATCTCACTGCCGACTTGAGCAGAGCTCTCCCCGTATGCCATCCATGGGTTGGTTCTGTGACTGAGTTGAGTCGAAGCCCGTGGTTCACGCTGCACAGGGCCACAGCTCAGAAATGCGGTTCATTTGTGCTGTCGACGCGCGGTCACTGGTGTCAGACTGCCCAGTCCCCGATCGATCCCGTCTTTCCCAGACCCTGGCCAGAATGTCAGCCCAGCTCGCCTGCCTAGGCTGGGTACCTGTATCCTGCTCCAACTGACCAGAAAATGACGTGCGAAATGTCTTCTGCTTGATGTGACCTGTGTAAGGATACCGTGGGTTTTGCTTGCACAGACTATAAAGGGCGATAAAGAGAATCAATCCACGACAAGAATGGACAAGAATGAAGCCAGCCACGATTATGATCGAACGCGTCGCAACGAAAGACAGTTGCGCGGTTGACATGAGCTGATGAGGCTAGTAAAAGCACAGAGTGGGTCGACAGACTCGACACGTTCGCGACGCTCATTTGTGTGCAGTCAACTCCCAACTCTTCAAGTGGCACCCGCATAATCATGGTGGCTCTGAATGATTCGATGTCACTCTCGCGTGCAGTCTGGAGGCAAGGTTTAGAAGCAGAACATCTACTTCAAGATCAATGTTCTGCAGAACGGGGATCATTGGTTACAGACAGGCGGCGTTCCTGTGAAATTTGGTCCAGACGCTTTGCGGACAGGCCTCCTCTGTTACGACTCATGTGTCCGCGTTACTAGTACTGATGGGTAACATGATCTACACGATTGTGTACCTCTAGCGCGCGGTACGCCACACTCGGTGGCCAGGTTGTAAGAGCACGGAACGATACTGCCTTACAGCTTTCAGGCTCTGCCTTTTAGGGCGCCTGTAAGCATACCTGTATGCGCAGCATACCTTTACATGTACAAGTCATGTACAAGTACGATGACTGTGATCGGGCTGATCCTGACCTGAGCAACATGCACACTACAAAATGTCTTGTAGATCCACTGTACAACACTGCACCTACATGTAGATCTACAGACTCACTACTAGTAGTACTAGTAGTACATTTTGTAGTCATTGTAGTGCAAAGGCAGCAAAAGCATACCATAACAAGTAAAGTATGATTGTTACTTTGTTACATTACAATCCGTTGTTACCCGTACCCTGCCCAGGGCGCGGGTACAAGCCGTCTGGAAACGCAGCATATGCCGCATATCATGCACACGCAACGCGCCCCTATATATGGCCTAGCCTACAGTCTAGAGTCAGACATGTAACGACGTTACCATGGTTACGTAGGGCCAGCTAGGGCCAGTACGGCAGCCAGTAGGGGCTGGTACAATTATGTACATGTATAGTCAGTAGTACTAGTAGTAGATGTGCGCCTAGCCCGGTCCCTGACTCGCTGTGCAGAAACTGTACAGGCACTCAGTGCCACCGCGCGCAACACACGACTTCAGAACTACAATGTCCAATGCGCTCTGGCATTTTGTAGCACGTGGTCCCCGAGCGAGCTGATTGGCTGCCTAGCAGGAAATACTTTTGCATAGTTGTCTTCGTACTTTTGAGCTCCTAGCACTTTCGCTCCTGGCTTGGTGGCGATTTTCCTGTTCGCCTCACCGTCACGTAGCTCACGTAGTGCTGGCCCGCTAGCTAGCCTGAGCTCCGCTAGCGTTCAGTTGAGCTACTCGCAAGGGAAAGTTTCATCAGTTTTCTCCGTGGCGCTGTACCATCCACATGAAGTAACAGAATCAGGAGCAGAGTGTCTGTTTGTAGGCACCGAACAGGTACTAGAAGTAGCAAGTTGCCTTTTACCAGAGTTTAGTTTGAACGCTGACTGGATGACTGAAAAGAAAGGTGAACAGAAGTATGAGTTCGTCGCTCGCGCTGCGCTCGCGAGTCGAGTTCGATTTGCCGCTCGACCTCATAGCGCGTCTGTATGGTCCTGGCGGACAAACCTGGGATAGGATTGAGTTGATATTTTCCGTGGACTTGGAGGTGCAGACGTGCGACAGAGATGACCAGTTGGAGACGGTGATAATCCAAGGCGATCAAAGAGCCATCTATGCAGCTAAAGTACGTTTCGATTACTGGACATGAAAATAATTACTGGATTCCAGCTTAGCGTTGGACTTAGTTTTGCACGAGTCGAATGGGAACCGAATTTCGGTTACATCTAGGTAGCCTATTTCAGTAGGTGAGCTCTGTCCACTGAGCTTTACCTTTTATTGGGGCATTGTAAATGTGTTTTATGTGGAAATGTTTGATTTGTAGAAGACGCTTTGCCTCCGCGAAATACGCTCATCAGTTTCTTTGTGTCTGTTTGTACCCAGGATTATGTACTTGCCTTGTGCGACAATCCCAACGTCGGTGAAAGGCAAGTCCGTTTCCCGGTGGACTATCAGATCCATCTTCAGGGCAATAACGGCGAGCGCCACCTGGAGCTAGAACGAGCGTCCTGGGCACGGATCTCGTTTCAGGATGGCGTAGCTACCGTACGCGGCGGAGATCTCGCTCTATCGTCGGCAGTGGCCATGATCTGCGACTATGTGAGCTTCTTCGACGCGAAGCGCGCTGGAAACGCCGACCTGTCGCAGTACGATCGTTTGCCGCACAGCCAGGTGAGCACGATGCTGAGGGAAAGCAGCAATCGTGATCTTAGGACGGGGAAAACCAGTGATGATGAGGAGCTAGTGCACTATGGCATGAAAGCTGGCTGGAAAGAGCATCAGATTCGAACGGCAATCAAGGATAGCGGCTGTTTGACCGATGCTAACGCTCTCCTGATGGTACTGATGAAGAAGTATCCCCTCGGCGGGCGTAAATCGCCAGCGCCAAAAGAAAAGAAGGCACCTGCACCGCACGTAGAGGTGAAGAGTGAAGGAGAGGCAAGCGATTCGGATGAGGATTCCGATAATGAGCGGGATGAGAACGAGGAGGCAAGGACTGGTCTCAGGCCGATTATCATTGACGGAAGCAACGTTGCTATGAAGTAAGTCATGGATGACAGTAGTTTGAGAATTGAGATGATTTTATTTTGCAAACTTTTGACTATGTTTCGTTTCGTTGAGTAATGACCCGTGATGCAAGCAGTGTTAGCATTGCTTGACGCGGAAGGCGCGTGCGTGCGGGTATGTGTGGTACGAATGTTGTTGTGCTGCAGACTGTATGGGGGCGAACACGCTAGCCTAGCTGTTACCAAATCCTCGTAGCCAAACGCACACACAGTACACAGTCTGCAATAGATTTACTGTATCCAGTGATTCCAGTCAGCAAGCACACAAACAAAGTGTACTAGTAGTGATATTCCCCTGTTGTCCCTGATGCGTTGGAGTTTCCATGCAATGCTACATGCATCAGTGTATTGTTGGAAGAGCTGTATTAAATTTGCAGAGAACATGTAGAGCTCCTTCCCAGGGGAATCAGCGTGGGCACCATGTTCCACATTTGCTTGTGCACATCCTGGTACCATGCGTATGTGGTGCATGTGTTTGTAAGTGTGTGGTGGATATTATTGTGGACATTGTGTACATTGTGTACAGTTGTTGCATAATAGTTGTGCATGCATGTAGTGTGGTATAGTCATTGTAGTAGTTGATGTGTGGGAGCAGGAAAATAGGAGTTCCTTCAAGGGACCAGTGCCAGGATGCGCCGTGTAAGCACGCTCTCCAACATGAGTGTGCTAGGGACAGTAGATAACTGGCACCGGTATATCCCGGGTGCTTAGTCTCTCGCTTACAAGCAGGAAATAGCAGTCAGTATCAAGATGGCAGCAATTGCTATGAGTTGCAGGGGTAGTGCTAGGGAGGGGGGGGGGGGGGGGGTACTGCAGCTTGCTCACACACTGAAATGTATGTACCGGTACTCCGTTTGCTCATGATCCTCTTGTTGCAGGTGTGCTACATTGAGCATGAAACTCATCTTTGTTCTTCCTGTTGTTGGTTTTTGCTTGTCAATTCTTGTTTCCCTCTGTAGTTACTCGGATGGCAAGTACTTTGCGTGCAATGCACTGAAGATATGTGTTCGCTACTTCCAGAAGCTCGGTCACGAAGAGATTTTCTGCTTAGTTCCTGAGTGGAGAAAGGAGAAATCAAGGCCGGAGGGCAAGATCGAAGACCAGCACGTTCTAGACGACCTGTACGCAGAAGGCATACTCAAGTACACTACATCGCGGCGGCTGAAGGGCAAGCGCATCGTACCCTATGACGACCGCTACATAGTCCGCCTGGCCACAAAGACGAAAGGCGTGATCGTGTCCCGAGACCGGTTCCGTGACCTGGTCGACGAGAGAAAGCAGTGGAGGACGACAATCGAGAAGCGACTGCTGCAGTTTGTCTGGGCAGGCGGTATATTCATGCCTGACCTAGACCCACTTGGACGCGGCGGGCCCAAGCTCAAGGAGTTTCTTCGTTTCCCGGGCGCCAAGTCTAATGACTCTGGTAGCAAGCGTAGTAGCAACATCACGGCGGACACACCGTTATGCAGCTACGGCAAGAAGTGCACGAGAGGTTCTCACTGCAACTACCGGCATCCGAAGAAAACCGAAACGACCACTGTGGCTGAGCCGCCAATGCCGGAGCCACAGCCTCCACCACCACCGTCGCATTTTCAGACCATCGATGCCAGCGACCAATACGCAGACCAATTCCCTCGCGGAGATTCGCGCGGCTCTTCAACTCGCGCATGTATGCTGCAGACGAATGGAATTGTTCCGTTTGTCCGGGACAGCAATGATCCGCGCTACAAATCCGCTCAGCAGCAGCGGCAAGATGAGGTCTCCGGTGGCAATGGTCGTCTGAGAATGGCTGCAGCAATGCCACAGCCACCGCCGCCTCCCTCGTTCGATCATAACCAGTACGAGCAGTACCCGGCACACGATGCACTGCTGCCACGTGCCGCCATGCCACCTCCCAACGCAGGTGTGAACTATGTAACGCAAGGGCATTCGTATGCGTCGGCTCGACAGCAACAGCAGCAGCAATGCCTTGACCACAATCCCCCATCACAATCAATGTACTCGCATCATCAGCATCAACAGCCCCAGCTTCAGCCACCGGCACCCCCAGCATACTATTATGATGCACCCATGAGCAACGGTTATAGCCCTCAGCCGGCTGCTCCATATGGCATGCCCCAACAGCACCATGCTGACTACGACCAGCAGTATGCGCATGGCATGACCGACTACTCCAATAGCAGAGGTAATCACACAATGCCCGCACCACCTCCACCACAGCAGCAGCAGCAGCAGCCATCCGACCCTCGCTACTCAACGGTGCATGATGCCGGTGATGGTCGCTTCCAGATGATGACGACGGAGCCGGAGCGCTCTTTCCAAACTATATCGGATACTCATAGCATGCATCACCGCAACAACTACTCGCATGACGTGTATCACACTCCCGCTGATTACTATCCAAGCCCAGCAGCAACACAGGCAGATGACACTAGCTACCACGCTGGTTACAACAAGCATCATGGCTCGGTGGTGGCTGCTATGGGACCGCCGCGGGGAACACCCCCGCCGCCCGCACCAATGCCAGCATGCCCTACGCCGACGTCTGGAGTGGATCCCGAAGTGCTCGTGCAGACATTCTGCAAGAACAATTGCCTGGTGCAGCAGCTGAGCCGCGCCAACAAGCTGCAGTGTCGCGAGGAGTTTGTGCGCTCCGTGCTGCACATGCACCGTGGACAAATCTCAACCCTTAGCCTTCTAGTCAGTTATGTATCTTTTGAATTGTCACAGCTGTAAATTTCCGGACTGTGTGTGTGTGTGTGTGTGTGTGTGTGTGTGTGTGTGTGTGTGTGTGTGTGCGTGTGCGTGTGTGTGTTTTAACCTCATCTATTACAGTCTACTTGGACAAGTGACCGTTCACATTTCCCCTGCATGTTTCTACATGTGCTTCAATTCTAGCTCAGAGAGCTGCTCGTCTTTGGCTGCGGGCACTATTGCTGGCCAGGATGAACAAAACACTCCTTATCTAAACCATGGCAGACACTGCTAGTGATGATTATGCTATTTCTAACCGGTTGAAACCATCTTCATCTTCATTTGAGCGTAATAATTTGTTGACCTTGATTCTCTGATAGGAGTTGCCTCATTTAATCCACTCCTCAAGTTGATTTAGCCGCACTATTTTTATCGTTCCAGAATGAAACGTATCCAAATCTAAAAACTCTGGAGTTCTGTTGATGGCTTATCGTGCAGTCAGATCTATTCGAATAAGAGAACTGACGTGAATGCATGTGCATGGGCTCGGATAGATCACTGTGCGGATCCAGCCGAAGAATGAGCAGGCTTAGAGATGTCATCGATCTTGCAGTATACGATCAGATACCCTGGCCGTGTGCATGCCGTTGTCTGGCTAACTGTTCTTCCCCAGCAGCATGCAGGCCTTGGACAGTTGGAGCAGGACGGAGGGAAGAAAATAAGTAGTTTTTTTAAAAAGTTTTATAACTATTAGGTCACCGGTGCACTCTGGCTTCTCTGTATCCATGGTATCTGATGCATGAGAGTACGAGGGTGTGTTCATGCTCAGCATGCTGAGATAGATCTTGCAGTGAATGAGATCTGAGAAGGCACCAACACTGCAACACTGCATACATGGAAGTAGGGGACGTGCATGCATGATGGACTGATGATTGGATCTTGGTGCGGAAAACAGTAGCATGTTGTAAACAAATGTCAAGGAAACGAACAGTCATGAAAGTATTACTAATAGTTATCCAACCACAGTGACAGTATCAATGAAAGGTCGGTAAACTACAGACTAGGGCTTCCAACAGCTCGAGCTCCAGTGCGGGAGCAACAAACCATTACTTACTTCCACAGGCTGTAAAAAGGTTAGCTGGATTTGTGTCGATCTCCATCATCACCCACCTTGACAGTGTTGTGAAACACCTCAGGCTTGTTGACATGGGAACTGCTCTATTATATCAATAGTAATAATTAGCACTTTAGCAGTCTCTTACAGCCTTCCCGGAAGATGGTTGACAGATCAGGAAGATGATGATGGAGCCTGTACTGTTATGACCAGAATGTGTCCTCATACACAGAGATAAATATCTTGTTGATACTGGGCATGTGCCGTCCAGCCATAGTCAGCCTACATACATGTACATGTAGCCCACCCAACCCCTTTACCTGGCCCGCCGCGACCATGACTGACTGTCAGCACGTTACAAAAGCAGGAAGGGGGACGAGAGAGAGGGGGAGGCGTAGCAGGAAGTGACCAGCGAAATACGTCAGCACAGTACTGAGCTAGCTCAGCAGGGAGGCGAAAAGTAGAAAACGGTCCAGGAGAAGACAACCCATGACGGCCGCTGATTGAGGCATCCAGCCTGCATGCACTAGGCTGCAGGCAGGCACGCGGACAAGACAGGGGCCTGGATAAAAATTGCGACTAGGCATGCACAAACCGGACTCCGGAACTTGATATGACTCTTTATGAGAGGTGCTGCCAGACTTGACATGTTGTACACGTAGACTGTACAATGTATTTCCATCATGAGCAAATCATGAGCAAAGGAAATGAGTTCTGATTGTCTATGTCGGTATCGGTGTGGGACCAAAGCGGAGGAATGATCAACCATGGCAAAGACCTCACCCGGAGTTCACAATCACAACGTCATTGCGGTCAACCCGGTTCGAAAAACAATCATTGGCGATGATCTTTTCCGATTGCGTGCATGACAGGACAGCGGGAAGTAGCGCAATGCTCGGATTGAGCACAGCCAAGAGTGATGACAGCACATTTACGAGCTTCTACTGTAGTCTCTCGTACACTACAGACAGGCAAGCCAGGGGCAGGAATAGTTCTGTTCAGCAGAGGGAATGTGCAGTCATGTAGATCTACATCTACATGTTTTATTGTAGTAATAGTACCTGACTCTCCACCTGTCCTTCAAGAGTCCATTTTGATTATTGTGCAGCTGAGCGCCTGTTTGGGGAGTGGAAGTGTTCTACAGCCAGTACTGTACTGTTACTAACGCTATCCACAAAACACAGCCACACTAACTCCCCCATAAGCATTGTGCATTTTGTACATGTTCATGAACAGTCAACTTCGTTTATAACGACACTCGGCGGGGCATCAAAAAAGTGTCCTTATTCGCGAAGTGTCGTTATACCCGAAGTCTCATTATATGTATTACAGTTGGATGGAGCTTTGCTCTGGGCAAGGACATTCTGTCGTTATTCGCGAATTGTCGTTATATCCGCAGTCGTTATTAGCGAAGTTGACTGTATGTCTGGTGTCGTGATGAAGGTCATACTCATAGTCATAGCAACAGAGCATGCACTTACACATGTACACGGAACAAGCGAAGCACAGAGAAGGTCAGTGACCTTATACCTTATACTCAGTCTTCACAGGAAAAACCGCTCATCCAGCAATGACGTGAACAGCACCGTGGAGTATCACAATATTTAGATCTACATGTACGTGTACGGTGTAGTTGCCACACCCCATGGCCTCCCACATGATGTGCATGTAATTGTACCACCAGGAAACTCCACTCCACTCAAATCCCGACGTACATGTACCGAGTAAGCAGCAGTTAGCTTGGTGAGTGCATGCACAAGAATGCTGGAGGTGGTACACAAAAGTACTGACTGTCTTCTTGACGACATGAGGTACATAATTATACATACTACAGCATACTACTGTAGTCATTTGTATTCACATATCGGCGCGGGCCGCGGGCCGGCCAGCTGGTAAGTAAGAATAATAATATTCGCGGGATCCTGGTAAGTGGTATGGTAAAATCTCTTCACTACAGACTACTAGACTTGTACATATACGGCCAAAAGCATGCATACCATCAAACAAACTCACGTACTAGTAGGGCTTGGTATGGTGTGATACTGGTACTGGTACTTGGTAGTGCACTACACCACTGTACATGTCGTGTAGGGGTGAGTGCACTGTGGTAAACCCGGAAGTGAGACATTGCTTGCAAAATGCAAACCCTAGTATGTACATGTACATGTATGTGTGTGTGCGCGTGTGTGTGTGCGTCCGTGTGTGTGTGTGTGTGTGAGGGTAAACGCGCCCTCGCCATGGCCCGCGCAAGTGGTGGCGTGACATCATCGTAGATGACTTCCGCTCCATCAGTCCCCCCCCTCCCCCCCGTGCCTTCTGCCTACTGGTTTGCCGTAGGCCTTGGCGGATAATGCTCGAAAAGGTGGCAGATTCTGCTTTTTTTGCACCGAAATTGGCAGAACCATACAAACCTTATGGCGGGCAATTCCTCGAATTCTGCTCCATTTCTTTATCCACATACCAAGCATGCATGAAACTTACCAGAAAAAGTACCGAATTCTGCCAATTTTTCTGCCGGCATTATCCGCCAAGGCCTAGTTTGCTGCTGCCCAAGATTGCTCCGCCTGGAGGAAGATTGCTCACCGTCGTCATCCCACCCATGCTCCCCCTGATCCAGACTCTGGCTTCCGCTTCGCATGTGGAAAGGTCTGCCGTCGTCCCGGGGATCTCAAGCGCCATGTTCCGTACTGCAAAGCTAGCAATAGTCCCTTCGCTATCATTACCATCGGAAAATGGGCACGTTCAATGTTCAAGGTGTGTGCGTGCGTGTGCGTGTGCGTGTGCGTGTGTGTGTGTGTATGTGTGTGTGTGTGTGTATGTGTGTGTGTGTCCCAGCACAAGCTGTTATGGCTTCTGCTGTAGCATCGCTATCATCGCCTCCGGCGATGGGCGTCAAATGGTCAATGGTGTGTGTGTGTGTGTGTCACTGTGTGTGTGTGTGTGTGTGTGTGTGTGTGTGTGTTTGCAGTGGTATGTGCAGCGATTTCCAATCGATAGGTTGCGGGTTCGATTCCCGACGATTATGGTCACACACGTCTTTCTTCTCTTTCTCAGACTTCTCCTGACTTTTCTTTCATTCTCCTGGGTGGTTACCAACAGCCAGTGCATGCCGGAGTATGTGGTGTGATGTGTGTGCGTGAAAAAAATGAAAAGACCAAAAAGTAGGGATTCATTGGCCAAAAAAAGCCACTTCATAGCTGTGTGGTGTAGACCAGGCTGAATATTGGCGGTCAATTCTTCAGCCTTGCAAGCTGTTGAATGGTTGAATCCCAGCACAAGCTGTTATGGCTTCTGCTGTAGCATCGCTATCATCGCCTCCGGCGATGGGCGTCCAATGGTCCAATGGTCCAATGGTGTGTGTGTGTGTGTGTGTGTGTGTGTGTGTGTGTGTGTGTGTGTCTGAGGTCTGAGGTGTATGTGTGTGTGTGTGTACATGTATGTGAGCTGTTGAGGCGCTGGGGACGCACTGAGCCCATGCACGAGAGGAGAGAACGTCGTCATCTGCAGGGCGCTGAGACAAAACGGCGTTGAGACTTCACAGCAAGACATGCCCCAGCAGGATAAAGATCTTCCACCCTGGTACTAGTAAAAGTGGAACGGGCCGCACTTCTAGTGGCTCCTTTCTGTCCTAGCAGCGACCCCAGTGAGTATCCTAGGGCCTAGGCCTTGGTATCTCCTCTGACTGTGGCTGTCTAGATGTACAAGTCATTGTACATGTAAGTCTATTTAAAAAACGGAATTGGGAACACTCTACTCTGATTCTAAATCCTCATTTCGGCCGGGTGTGCAACAGCTTCGCTTAGCAAGCCGGAAATGCTACACGTACCTGACTTTATTTACCCCTGTGACTATCAAGATAACTCTAATCGTGAAACAATGAACCACAAAACAATGGATTTCATACGAAGCAGCCATCCCACCACCATATTGCCCCCGCCTGTTTTTCATGATCCATTGCTTCTTGCCTCTCCGGTTGATTTCCATCTAGCTGTTTCTGGCGAACATCAGTTCTATCACACTTATCGATCGTGCTTATTGGCGTCACGCCATCGTGGAATAAAAAAGAAAAAAGAATAATCATAGGCATTCCTCCAAGGAAAACCTATCCCGTTACTCTGCCCCACAATCAAGGGCTCGTGCGTGGGCTTACTAAAGCCATGGATAAAAAACAATTGCCCAGCTACCCTGCGTGCTCGTCGTGAAAGAAACTGAAAAGTCACATCCCCTTTCCCGGGTGCCTGTGTTGCCCGACATGACAGAGATGCAAGTTTAGCGTTGTGGCAGCCCTCCGAGACAGGTAATCATGCGACGGCGTACGTTTTGCCTCCCTGGTCTGTTTGGTGGGATTCCCT